TTAGGGGGTCGTCTTATACGCCCAGTCGTCTTATACGCCGGCAAATACGGTACTAATAGCCTACTGTTGACTGGAAGCCTTACCAATAACATAAACAGTTGATTAACACATATGTTGTATGTTATATACTATATACTGTATTCTTGCAATAAAGTAACCTAGAGAAAAGAAAATGTTAAGAAAATTAAAAAGAAAATACATTTATGATATTTATTGGGAAAAAAAAACTCTCAGTGGACCCACACAGTTTAAACCCATGTTGTTCAAGCGTCAACTATATAGATTCAGGGCATTTTCAAGCAGGGGATTATTACTTGACTTCACAGAAATCCATGTGAAAAGAAATTGAAATACATTGTCCAAATGTGGTGGCCCATATGTGTGGTCAAGTGGACGGGCTCTGGCGTCAGAACTGGGCCCACAGCCCAGCTCAGCCACCTGCTGGTTGTGTGGTCTTAGGCACTTTTCCTAACCTTCCCTGAGCCTCCTTTTCCTCATATAAAATGGAAATGGCAACTACTCTCTAGGGTTATTGTGTGCATTAGCATATGACAGGTACTCAGTTCATGGTGGTTATCATGCCCAGTGGAGTAAAAGCAAGAATTTGGGGTGTATTAACAGAAAATATTTTTTCATTTTTTGGTTCTGTAAGAATGTATTGGTAACGTGTTATAATGCCATTATAAGGATTTCCAAGAAAAGGCTGTTAGTCATATTTTTTCTCTTCCAGGAAAAACGCCAGCTGTGGAACAAGGAGCGCAGGCCGGACGACCTCAGCTGGCACTGGGGGGATGTGGCGATTCTACACGGAAGATTCACCTGGCCTCAAAGTGTAAGTCTTGGGAGCAGACCTTGTGTTTCTGTCCGGCATCGCAGAGACGGTTGGCAGCACCATCTCTCTGCCATCAGTGGTGCTTGCTTTGATGACAGTGACAGTACACAGCAGCTTCATGTGTGCTAGGTGGACTGGGTTTGGTTTGTCTGTATATCAACCAATTAATTTGGGGCCTGGAATGACATCTTTTCATGGATTGAGTGAAAGCAAGGGAAGATCTTCATGTAGCTATGTCAAAATAAATTATGGGAACAGAGAGAACTGGAGGGAAAACTGCTTAATTAGATGAAATTGTTCTTCATTTGGTGTTCTTGTCCCATGCTGAGAAATAGGAGTAACCATTTGAATAGGAGCTTTGATTTTTCAGAGCTCTCCTGGAGGCATAAGCTGATATTATTACAGCCTAATGGAAGTTTCTGCATTAGGCTGTGTTACCAAAAGTTTTTTGGCTTTTTTGCCTTTCATGGGTGGTGAGTAGACCTCAGGGGGTGAACATACCACTTTCCAAGTTCTTACGCCTTGGAGTGCTCATTCGGTGATAGGAAATGGGCATCTGGGGTACCCCTGTCCCCATGCCTTGCTCACCTCACTGTCCGGAGTTGCTGGTACTGTGTGGCAGACCTGACGCCACAGGTTTCTGATCAGGTATGCTCCAGGACACCACTGCTTCCTGCTGCTCCCTGACTAATCCCAGTGGATGAGAAATTGGAATATGACAACTTGCATAGCACTGCAGGCTCAGATGGTCAGGCTTAGAGCGGCAAAGTCATGTGTCAGAGAGAAGCTAGCAAGAGCTGGAACCAGATATTCTGACTGTTCTCATGCTCTTTCCATGCTGCCTGTCTGGTAGAAAAAGACAAAATTAGATGTATTTCAATTAGTTTAATTACCTTGACCAATAGCTTGGCTTGGATCACAAATTTCGTTTATGAAGACTTCCCTAGGATTCTTGAAGACTTGTGTGGTAAGGTGAGATGTATTTAGGAGGTAATTCTTGGGGCTGGCGATATGTGAGTTGGCAGCATTCAGACAACCTTTTGGTCTTTGTTAGAGGGAATTTCTTGGAGTATTTCAGAGAGAGACTTTGAAGCCCCTTGCTCTGTAGGGCATCCATGGGATTCATTTTAAACCCTTCTCAAGAAGGTGGTAAAAGCGGTTCCTCCTGTGGTGAGTCTGGATTGTGCTTGCTGTGGGCTTTCTGCTGTTGTGCAGCCATGCCTGCATGTCGCTCGAGTATTCCCAGGAATCACTAGAAGCTGTTCCTTCCAGTGTCATCAAGCACAGCCTCATCACACCAGAGAGAGATGTTTTGGTGAAAGGACACAGTTGGGAATTCGTATCCACAAATCCACATCTTGGAGCAGTCAAGTAACATCTAAGAACTTGTCATATGCTCATTGTAGGAGTTGAACATTTTTTTTTAGGTTAATAATAATAGCATTTCCTGAGAGCTGCTTATAAGCCTGCATTTTGTGTGTATTAATTTATTTAATACCTCAGTAACCCAATGAGAGAGGCACTATGATTATTCCTACTTTATACATGAGGAAACTGGGGCTTGGCGAAGGTAAGTAATGGAACCATAGCCACAGCTCATAAGTGGTAGAGCTGGTTTCCAAACTCTGGCACTTGAACTCTGAGAGCTGCACTGTTCGCTTTATGCTCAATGGCTGATGTTCCTCTAACGTTGCTTTAAAGTAGAGGGTGTGATCAAGTGCAAGCAACATAATGAAGATCTCTTCCCGTGTACTTTCAAATTTGTGTATGTAACGGTACAAATTTTGGAAGAACACAATAGTGTAGCGAGGACATTGGTTTCGGTGTATTGTTTATTGTCCATACGTGGACTCTGTTACCCTGCTGCACCCCTGGGTTACTCCACTGCCTTAATTGTAAAGATTTCTGGTTTTTTTTCCACTGTCCCCTCCCTAGTTGTATCTGGGAGGCGAAGTGGCATCTTGAATTCTCCAAAACCAGTGTTGTCAGGAAGAGTCACAAAGGCGGGGCTTTTAACATTTCACTAAAGTCAACATTTACACATTGTGTAAAATTAAGGGGTTCTCCCCTTAAGATACCTATGTACTAATTCTCAACTTGAAAAACGTTTGATTCAGGGAAGGGCTGATGAGTAAAATCTCATTTCCTTCCTACAAGAAACTCGTAAATATAAATCAAACTTAACACCTGTTGCGTAGAATGTTTGGTCCTTGAAGATGGGAATCTTTAAACAGTAAAATGAGCAAATATGTGTGGAATCAGAAAACCTGAGTTCAGACCTCTCCTTTCATTCTGACTATGTGTTCTTAGGCAAGTAATAATCTCTGGCCTCAGTTTTCCATATTTATAAAATGAGATTATTTGTTTCGCCTATATCATGAGTTTGTTGATCAAATGGGATCATATATTTGGAAACACTTTGTAACTTATAATGTAATTCTCATCTTTGTATGCTTAGTATATTGTAGTTAGACAATATAGGTTGTCTTTAAATAAATCTTAATTTAAAATGAAAGCTTGATAATTGAATCATTTGCACTGAAAGAATTTTGGGAAGTTTTACTTATTTTTCTTATGGAAAGTATCAAATACATGAAATTAGAGACACTAGTGTCTCCAAGATATCAGGTCATTTTATTTGCATATATTTTAGTATGTTTTACTAAGAGATAAGGATTCCTCTTATCAAAATATCCACAATAATAATTTTGGGACTATTTTTAAATAATGTAAATAATATTCTTGGGTGAGTCTGAGGTACTCTCCACCCCCCCTTTCCCCCAAGCAATCTTTAGTATTATAAATATAATGATGTGTTATTACTAAAAGTAAGCATACCTTTTCTTCTTATTTTCAGTGGCCCTGTTCCGGTATTGGTTATGAGTCTTCTGTTCATTGCTTCTGTGTTTATGTTGCACATTTGGGGCAAGTACACTCGTTCATAGATTTGGCTACATCCATCTATCTGTCTATCATCTGAAGAAGAAGGAAGAAAAAACCCAACATATCTTGGACCAAAAGCATAGTGGTTTTCTGTTCATGTGAAAGAAATTTTCTGTAAGCTTAGTGTTTTACAGGGAACTTAACGAGAATTGGTTTTAAGAAATCAATGTTTTTCTATGGCTAATAAACTTTTTAATTCATTTATACCAAGTCTGATTGTTGATGCCTGACTGCTAGGGCCCTTAGTCCCTCTGCCTTTTGATTACAAGTAAATATGTAGATAACATGTCTAAATGTGTCTTGTGGAGATTGTTTTCTCTGTTGGAGTGACAGTTCCTTATATAATCATGTAATCATTCAGATCTGAAGTACTGTAATTGGCGTTGGCTTATTTTCTTCTAGGTATTTCTATTTATGTGATTGTCATATTGGGTGTTCTGAGGTTTTCAAGGAGTGTGCCTGTGATTCCATCAGGCAAATCTGTTCAAAAGCAGTTGGTGCCCAGGGGAATAGTCATAGAAGTAATAAATCAGAAATCTTAGATGAAATGTTTGCTCATTCTGTTCTTCATCTCTAAAACCATAGATAATATTTTTGCCTCTTTTCTCTCCCAGTTCTTAATTCTGTGAGTGTAGACCAGAGGTTTTTATCTATTTATCACTGGTTGCTAAACCTATTTTGTAAGAATTCATTCAATAAATCGGATTTATCAAATAAAATTTTGTTTTCATTTTGAAAATTAAAGACCTTTCTAATCAGAGTGAGATATCCGCATTTCTAAGCTGAGTTGATATAACTCCAATAAAAATTAGAAATTTTTGCAGTTTCACTAAGCTGCTGCTGCCATTCTGGGCATAAGTATTCAGTTTCTGGTAGACCCTAGGAAATACCAAGAAGAGCTTAAAGGTGCGCGTTCCAGGAGTCTAGGACTCAGCCAGGTTTCCAAGGAGTAAGAGATCCATTCGAAATGCCCTAACTGACCAGCAGAATCATAGTATGATAAAGAGGTAAACTTGTTCAAAACCAGGTAATTTAAAAAAACATTTTGTAAAAGGAGCTTTAAGAAAAATTCCTAGAACAGTTAAGCAGTTTCATAAGTGTTTTTTTTAAGTCCTGGCTGTAAAGTAAATTTAGATCTCAAGTACCAAATTTAAATGATGAAAGTATGTGTCTTTTAAAAAGGTTTCCTAGGTTAATATATAGGTGAATGTGCTCTTGTAAATCCTAACGATTCAGATTGGTAGTTACTAATAACAGCTAAAACTTATGCTTTTAATTTGGAAAAGAAAACTGTTCCTCTGTCCAGAGGGGTCTGTTTTTCTCTGGGGGAGCTGCTGAGGCCACTTGGGGGAGCTATTAGGTTGTGAGGGGTACATTCTCTTTACTGCACAGTGCTGCCTGTTAGCTCTATCTGCCTAGCAGTGGTATCTCGTGGACTGATAGCAGAAAGTCACTGAATTTCCTGAGCTAGTGATTTATAAGAAACTGCTAGTTTTTGGTGGTAGAGCAAGGAGATGCTTCATTTAGCAGAAAATTGTGGGTTGGGCATAAAGCTGTACAGCATCTATTTTGTAGCTACTTTTGGCTCTGATGATACAATGTTAATACAATCTTAAGTGTTCAAGCTGTTCCTTTTTTGTTTTTCAATTTTTGAAAATTGTGGTAAAATGCACATAACATAAAACTTACCATCTTAACCGTTTTTAAGTGTGCAGGTCAGTGGTATTAAGTTTATTGATATTGTTGTGCCACCATCACCACCATCCATCTCCAGAACTCTTGTTCATCTTGCAAAACTGAAACCCCACTAAATAATAACTCCCTTCCTCCTCGCTGCTCTCTTCAGCCCCTGGCACCACCATTCTACTTTCTGTCTATGAATCTGACTCTCTAAGTACCTCCTATGAGTGGAATCATGCAATAGCTTGTCCTTTTGTGACTGACTGATTCCACTGAAACAGCCGCTTGGGCTGAGTCACTGGGGGACAACCACGTTAGGGAAAGGGTGAGTCTCTGAGACTAGTCGGGGATGGAAAGACGATCTCTGAGCACAATAATGCCCCAAATACACTTCAGTAAAACAGTAGTTGAGAGATCTGTTCCTGGGAGAGGCGAAACACACCATAGCTGCTTTTCACATCTGTCCTAGTCTAGACTCCAGGTGTTTTTTTTCCAGGTGCTAATGCCCTCCTAGGAAGAATTGAAAAAGACATTCTGAAATCATGCCGTGTCGCATCAAGTTAAAATGGATGAAAACGTCTACAGAGTTGGCCTCACTCAACAGAAAATGCAGTATATGGAGTTCCTGTGTGCAGGGTCCCAGGCTCTTGATTCCCTTGCAGCTGCCCTCGGGGACTTGCAGAGCTGCTTCGCCCCTCCCCTCGGATGCTGTGAGAGTCGGGACAGGCTGGGACCAGGCTTGTTTGACTTCCGGTGCACAGCTAGGACTTCCAAACTTACTGCTCTTCCTACCCATTTTCTAGGCTTGAAAGTGTGCCTGACCTGGATTCAAGTGCTGGCTCTGCCACTTACCAGTTGTGAGAACATGGGAGACTCACTTTCTCTGTGTCTCATTTTTCTTATGTGTAAATGACTATGGGTATAATTCTCACCAAATTGGCTTAAACTGGAAAAAATGATCCAACGGTGCTTTGTTAATTAGCTAACAGTTAAGTGCTTATTCTCAATAACTTTAGAGATGTAGGTTTTTTCTTTTTTAATCAATCTAAAGAGGAATTTACTATTTGCCCCATTTTACACAAGAGAAAACTGAAGCTTAAACCACTTAGCTTGTAAGTGACGGAGCTGGGATTTAACTCCAGATCTCTGACTTACCCACTAGAGTCACATAGATGGATTATTAAGTATCTGGGATGAGAGTGAGGGAGCGGTGTCCCAACATTAGAGCTTCCACAATAGAACTTGTTTTTTGTGGGGGTTTTTTTTCAGGTTAGTATGATAATTTAATACAGAGTCCAGAGAGGGATTAAGAAGCATAGACTGGTAGCCACAAAATAGTCACAGGGATGCAAAGCAAAGCATACGGAATAGTCAACAACACTGCAATGGCCACCAGGTGGGCCGCAATAGAGCTTTTAATAACAACACAATTCCAAGAACGTGCCACTCAATCATTTGGTGTTCTTCAGGCATTACACAGCTTCAGTGTGAGGCTTTTGGGTCTACGGAAGGAGTTGGGTTTCTTTATTTCAGCCCTGAGCTTTGTTCATTGTGTTGGGACTCTTGTGGTTGTGGAGGAAGCATAATGTTTATTCGCTCAACATTTACTGCTCACTGTGGACCATGCTCTTCTATTGGGGTTTTACAGGTGACCTGGCACAGTCTCTCATAGCTTAAACGGGCTGTGCGTTTGGATGCTAGTATCCTAGTCCCACCTGGGGCTACAAGTTCTAAGTAGCTGGTGGCTATGGAGAAACCAGACAGGAAGCGCTCTCAGGGCCCCCTCAACTATTAGTGAAATCAATAGTTGGGACCCTAGTTTAAGAGCTAGTAAGTATGCTCATGGTATGTGGGCAGTGGTGCCAGGGATTGCAAAACTGGCGCTGCACCCAGGAAATCTATATTGCATGATCACTCATCCGGCAGAGGGAAGCCGGGAGCCCTGGGATGCCCTAGCTGGAGGGGCTGAGAGTTCGTTGTGTCCTCCTATTGTACAACAGAGGAGACGGGCCCAGAGAGGAGAAGGGACTTGCCCAAGATTGTTTTCTTAGCTGAGGAGAGGCCAGAGCTAGGCTTCCTGCTTCCAGGCCAGGGCTCTTGTCCAAAACTGCACTTTGAGCTCTATTTTGGGCCTGTGCATAAGCCAGGCCGCCCCTCTCTAGAGGCTAGGCTCTGGAAGTAGATAAACCAAGTGGTGGGCTTTGCTTAGTGGGCAGTGTTTATCAAAGGGGGAGGAGTAAATAAAGGCAACAAGGTTAGCTAGTAAAAATGAGTTATATTAGTAAATCTAGGAGGTCAACAGGTTTGTGAGACTTCATGGAGAGACAAAATAGGGAGCTGCAGCCAGCAGAACTGTACTGTTTAGCATTCTTGTGACCACAAGTGTTCGGTAAGCCAAGAACACAGTGCGATTGACCAAGTAGGGGTAAGGTAAAGGCTAAACTGTTTAAATACTATTCCTGGTCGTCCTGGCAACTAAGCTTCTTTCTAATGCTAACAACATTAAAACAAGATAAAAGATGCAAATTAACTCAATAGGAATCAAAGATGTACTCATACATAGTTTAGATTGCTCCATTTCGGGGAAAGATCTAGAAGTTTGTACTCAGAAAGCAAATGAAGACATGAGGGGAAGAACTTGAATTACACATAAAAGGGTTAACGGTCCTGCAAACACACTTGCTGGTCTTCCCATTGACCCCGCCATAGGCAATGTAGAGAATAAATCCTGTAGCTGTGCGTCCCTGTTGTCTCACCTGTCCTACACAGGAATATTGTGCTGCTAAGAAAACAAACTCATTCTCCTAAGACCCTATCTAATTCGGTTTGGGTTATAGAATTTAAATCAGCGGTTCTTAGACTTGAGCGTGCATCAGAATTACCTGGAGGGAGCCTGCTTCTGCCACCTAGCCAATTTGGCCAGCACCAGACTGGAGCCCAGGCTCTAAAACAACAGTCACAACGTGGGGCCACGGCTGCTCACCTGTACACCTGTGCAAGTGTGCATTTTGTCCCCCTGCTCTCCTTGGAGGCTTTCACCGTGGTGCTGTTTGTTTTGCAGTCTCTGCACTGTGTCGGGAAATTTACCCTGGCTTCTGTGATTTTTGCATTTTGTGTATTCATAACCTGGTGTTATGCATGGTCAGCTAGCTGTGGAGCTGGGAAGCCTGGAGAGGCCGCAGGGCCCTGATTCTCCCTCCAGCTCTCTCACTTTGACTCAGCAGTGCCTTTTTATAGAGGACATGCTGCCTGAATGAACAAAACAAACTCTTGTCAGACTTCCTTTTGTAGCAGGCTTATTGCACAGACCTTCAGCTGGCTCTAGGATCAGTAGGAAATGAAAGGTGCAGTACGAGGCCTGACAATTAAGTTTGCGAATTTGTTGCAACGATGCCGCTAACCTTTTTTTGATATCAGAGGGATAATTCATGATGAATTTGTACCAACTGGACCAACAGTTAACCAAATTTACTATTTAGAAGTGCTGAGAAGGCTGCATGAAAAAGTTAGACAACCTGAACTTCTCGCCA